CTGATAATGATAACACGCAATAATCATGATGAAAACAGATGATTACACTCTTGCCAATGTTGGTGATATTGATAATAATGATAGATATAATAACAATAAATAAAACAGATCAATGATTCATGAAAAAGATAATAATAAAAAAAACTGGCCCAAACATGAGCCACTAACAGGGCTCTTACTTGAACCTGCACCAATTAACTAAATAAATATGTAAATAAAAAACAATTCTAATGATAATCACGATGATGATAAAAATGATGATAACTGCAGTGGTGGTAGCAATAGCGTTAATAATGACAGCATACATGAACAATAGCGACAACTCAATTAACTATATTCAATCTATGTGAAAAAAATGAAATCACGCCATGTTATTGTGAATATGAAACTAAAAGGCTAATGATTAGTATGTATTTTCGGGCGTACCCTCACTGGATATTTTTAACAATGGAGAGGAAACCCTGTATCGCTTTAACATTAAAATAATCAACTCTTTAATTCATATCTGTTTTCGACCTCTTAGCCTTCTTTATTTTGCTGTGTCTTATCCATTCCATTTCTTATCAAATGGAAACCTTGATATATAAAAGACATTATGCAGACTTTTTCACATGTTCATTTTTTAAAGTTTTAGTGACAACAGACATGCTTTCGTGAATTTTTACTTATTACTTATATTTGGTATAGTCAATCTCTTAACTAGTGGTTCTCCGATCTGGGAGTTATAAAGCGGTATCAAAAGATAAGGCGTGTTCTGTACGTGCCATAGAAGTTAATCCAGTATTAAAGTTTAATCCAGATCTCTAGTGCGCATGCGCGTTGGCAGCGTCCAGGATGAACTTTTAATGACCTCTAGACCAGGCTTTAATATTAAGCTCATTTTTAAATCCTGCACATGCGCAGAAGGGACACGTTAATCCCACCAATCATGTAGTTACGTCACGTGTCCGTCCTGAACTTCATAGGTGCCATCGCTTGAGTTGCCATTCAGAGTTATTTTCGGCAATAACATCGATCGTCTTAGAATTTCCATACGTAGTATTTATTATGAAAATGAAATGGTATATATTTACACAAATGATCAAATATTCTGATAGAAGAAATAACTTATGGTAATGAATATAAAAACCAATATAATCCTACGAGGATTCTTTGAAATTCAGAAGCTGCGGGCATGGAACTCATATTTCCAGGTTACTGAAACAAAAATTATATGGTCAGGGTCACACAAGTTGACGTTTTAAATCAAATATGTCAATGTTTTAAAGAAGAATTATGTACTGGATTTTTCTCAACTACTTTACGACAAAATTAACAATTGAATTTTTCTATGGACCTCCTGAACAGCATCCTGAAGAAAACATGTTTCCCTCCTCCAACACGATTCAACGCAGCAAAGAGCTGTCCGAGGAAACAGCGCAAAGCATATTAATTGATGAATGTCATTTTTGTACTAGACTGTCATTGCAATAAAGATTAGTTTTATAGTTGTTAGAGCAGTTTCGTTAATATAAGATCGTTATTATGAAAAAAATAGAATATTTCATAAATAATCATGTTTCCCTTATAAGTAAGCCTACTTGTGCTTCGTAATTATCATATGAAGATCAAACTGCATCTTGAGTGACTGACTATAACTTTCTATAGCAATCACCTTTTCTCCAATCTATAATAAATGAATATCAGTTGTCAGAAAAATCTTTTAACAATGCAGTGTCTGAATGCAAATTGCAAGGTTTATTTATCCAAATAAATTTTATATCGGACTGCAAATCTTTAGGTAATATCTTTAATACTGTCTTCTATATCATATGCGTAGGGACATGAAGGGTGAATGTTGAATAGATATCTTTTGGATGATTTTGTTGCTTATTTACAGGTATGAGTGCATGACTTGCTCCAAACGCTACCCTATACAACATGCAACAGTTATGTGTGAAGAGAACATTGCACAGAAATGTTTCAAAATACCACAGATTGTTCAGCAGTAAAAAAAAACATACCTCAGAATTGATAGAAATTTAAAGAGACAGTCCATTAACTTAAGATTCCAAACAAATCATATTTGAAACAGATAATCTTGAAGAAATGTGTACAGAAAATAGACGTACGAACTTTCTTACTTTGATATGATGCTAGTCTTAGTTTTCAATTTTGGGAACATTGGGAGGCATAAAGAACTGATTAATAATATGAATAATTTTTTTAATGCCTTGTCTTCAATCATGTATGTACGTCTGAGATGAAGAGGAGGAAAAGATGGTCTTCAGAAGCATCTAGAAGTTTATATTATTATTTACAGAACACTTTAAACAATTAGGAGGCAAAACAGGAGATAAAAAAGGCATAAGATAATTAGCATTATGAAAACATTAGTAAGAGTCTCAGTTTCATGAAATACACATTAAATATAATAGATATTTTGAAACCTAAGAGATGTCTTAAATAGTTTCTTAAATATGATTACCAAAAACATGACATTACAAAAAAGAAAGAAAGA